TGTTTCATTTGTTGAAGGAAAACAGAATCAAAATAAAATCATAGAGCACAGCAGATTAGATGGTAACAGAGGTTAAAGTTTTGTAAGTTCCTGGTGTTGCTCATGAGGAGAGCAGATTTCTCGGGAAAAGCACACGGTTTGCCCACTGCACCAAAGTTTAATACAAGAAAATCCTGAGTCTCAGAACTCTTCTCAGTCAACACACATTCCCTTGGTGAGCTCACCCAGCTGCTCTGGAATGCAATGGGGAACAATCTTGTGTGGTGTTCGTCGCTGTGTCTTCATTGCCTGAAATGGTATCTAGCACATCATAGGAAAATAAAAAACAGTGTTGAATGAATAAATAGCTTCTTCTAATTGTTTTAAATGCTTCATAATTGTTACTTATAGCTCAATTTGGCTGCAGCATAGGCACATGAAAGGAAGTCATAGGAGATAAGGCTGAATATCTTGGTTGGCTCTAGATGATCTAAAAATAATCTAGCTAATACATATCATGATGTAGAGGGTGAAACGTGATAGATGGTGCACGTGGTGTGCTAAGTCCCCTGTATTTTATAAGGATACTCAATATATCCAGTTGTTAACACTGATAAATCAAAAATTAAAATGTTATTTTACTATGCAAAGCTTTTTATAAAAAAAAGAATGGAAACTGTATGTGGTGGTTGCTTTTGGGGAATGAGACTTGAAGAGACTTCACATTATGCACCTAGTATCATTTGAAATAAACCCAATTATTTTAAAAGATTAAGTAAGCCAGGGCCTTGAATGCCAAGCAGAACAGGGCAGACTGTCCTTAACTATGAAAGCTTACGTTGCTTGATCAGTCTGCTTCCTGCAGAGGCGCATTGTGGGCAATGAAAGACTTCAGGATGGTGATTCCTTGCAGGGAGTGGGGCCGGAGAGGGTAGGGGAGAAACCAAGATAAGTGACTGGAGTCGGGGCAGATGCTGAGAAACATCTATGTGGTTTCATGTGTCATCCTTTTATTTGCCAGCACACTCTGCACAGGAAATCACAGGGCTGTTGAGCATCTTGATAGCTTCACTCAGTCATCAGGTTTCACTCCAGCTCCTGCAGGCATCTCCCCAACCTCAGCTGTTTGGCAGTCCCAGGAGAAAGCACTTCCTTCTCAACTCACCAACTCCGGTAGAAAGAATGGTGTTAAGGTAAGTGTTTGTTCAAGAACCATCTTCTTTCAAAGGCAATTTTGGTTTTTACCTTAGTCCGCATCCTGATGAATTAATCAGGAAAAGAAGACAGGAAGCCCCTACGAGGGAGCTTTGGATGCTGGCAGCTTAGCTGGTGGGAGATCTGAATGAGGTCAAGCAGGTTCTTTTTACTTCTGTTCTATCTACCTATATTCTCCCCTTCTCTTCAACCATTCAAATCTACAGCTATGGAGAGAAAGATTTTGCTAATTTTAATTTAGGGGGAGGTTAGAGTGAAGGCATTGCTTCTCTAAGATAAATTATTAGTAATAACCTCAAGTTGCACTGATTTTATTTTTATTCAAAAGGTTTATTTCTTCATATCTGTCATTGTCCCAGCAGAAATCACAGATCACACACTCTAAAGGGATAGTTAAGAAGAATTTAATGAAGAGACTGTTTACAAAGATATGACCAGGGTTTAAGGGAATATATAAAGAATAAGGAAGTCCTCAAGGCAAGTGATAGTGGAAGTCTGTTACCATTGCTGGGTCTGAAGGGATAAGGAGAAAGAGAAGCTCTGAGAACTCAGAATGTGCTGTAGCAGTAACTGAAACTGTAACTGTAGCTGCGGCTACAGGAAAGGGCCACCAGACAGGGCTATGTGCTGAGGTAGAATAGCACTGCCACTGCCAACTCACAGCCCTTCAGGGAGCAGGGAGAGAGACAGGAAATTTCTCCTGTCAATGTGCACCCTTTGGAGTCAGTGTGAAATGTAGCCCATTGATGAGCCACAGAGATGTCTCCTCCCAGGATGCAAAGGCAAGTAGAGAAGGGTGGACCTGAGATCCTAATGGCATGTAGGAAAAGTCCATTTCTTCCTGTAACCTCTTCGCAGTTTGTATTTCCTGGGACTTTCTCTATTAATGTGATTGAATCAGTTTCTCATTCTATCACCTCCCAGTTTTTTTGATTGTTTGCCCTTCCCATGTAGTGTCACTTCTTTGGACTAGTCTCTTACTATCATCATAAAGACCTTGAGAAGGGAATGTGGTTGGGAAAAAAGGGATGCGTGCACAGGCATAAGTAATTTAAGTTTATGATTTTGGCTCCTCTAAAAAGAAACATATTATGGTAGTGACAATCAAAAAGAATGTTTATTAGACTTGGGCTGGTGACTCCAAGATATCAAACATCAAGGCTCCTTCCAGTTTCTTTTTTCCCATCCCTAAAGAGGTGCCCTCACCCTCGTGGTCCTACTTGGCTCCCAAACACATCAGCATTCCAGCCTGGGAGAAGAGAAAGAAAGAAGGAGTACAGAAGAAGCTGGTCATATAACTTTCTTTCACCTTCCGTGACTATTACTTGTGGTCACATGGTGCCATCAGCATGAAAGGAAGCTAAGGAATGGGCCTTTTTCTGATCTAAGACTCAGAATTATTATGTGTGAGAAAAGAAGAATGACTTTTGCGGCAACTAGCAGTCTCTCTAGCTCCTGATTCTTTTTTAGTATCTGTGCTCATGTGGAGATTTTTCTTAAGACTGCCTCACAAATAGTGAGTGATGTAGGCATGGAACAGAAATAAACCTAGGACAGGGCTACCGGAGACTGGAGCTGGGATTGGACCTGCTTTTCACCATGTGATTCAGGAAACTCTTTTGTACCTTTTAAGTCTGTCTTACTTCCTTTGTTAAATGAGCATATTACAATAGATGACCTCCAAGGGACATGTGTTGGAGGCTGGGGATATAATAGTGAACAACCGCAACAAAAATGACGCAGGTCTAAGTATCACAAAATGTTGAGTTTAATGAGGGAGATAAAAGAAAAAAACAGACATACACTTAAAAATACAGCTGCAAACTGTGTTCAGTGCCATGAATAAAAAGGCCTGAGGGGGGACATCAGAAGTGGTTTTCCTCCATATCCCCATCAGGCCAGCCAGGACTACAGGAACTAAGGTAGCATGTGATGGATGCATTCAGCTTTTGATTCCCATTCTGCATCCCCACAAAGGACACATTCTCTTTCTACTTGTAGGCCTCCAACCCATGAGAGTTTTCTGTAGAGTGGAGTGATTGACAGCTGTTTTTCTGAAGCAAGAAAGAGCTCTTGCATTCAGTTGCTTATTCTCAGTTGGCTTCTATTCACATCTCTTCTCTTTGATTAATTTCTCTTCCTTACTGTTTCTTAAAGTTGCTTAATCTAGGCTTGAAAAATCCACAATTTTGACATGCCATTTTGGATTTGATATGAGCATTACTTGTTGCTTTTCTCCTTCCTTCGTGTGTAGTTGGCACTGAACCCTTGCAATGGGGCTGCAAGGCTGGTTAAGAACAAGCACTCTAACACAGTCCTGTGAGTTCAAACACAGGCCCTCCCACTTGTTTGTGAGACCTGGAGCATATTACTCAATATATTTGTGCTTTAATCTCCTTATCTGTAAAATGCGACTAATAATAGTACTGACCTCACCAGGTTCTGAAGAGGATTTAAAGGAGCTATACCTGAGGAGCACTCAGCCAGCTGCTGTTGTCCACCCGAGTGTCAGTCAGTGCTCTTTCCCAAGTGGAATCACATAAGCACCTGCCTTTCCCCCCAAAGCCCTGCACAGTGTAGACATGGCTCCTTTTTCTAATTTCCCACTCCTTTCCCCAAACAATTCTTTTCACAAATGCTTTAATTCATAAAGCAAACTCAAAATCATCTGGGGGAAAGAATGGCTTCCCTTTACATATATTCATACCTCAGTGCCCTCTAGTCACCGCTAGACTAGACACTCTCAATTGCCACCTCTCTCTCCTTTTCCCAAATTACCTCATTTTCCTCCAAAATGCAGAGAAATTCAGATAAACCCTGAATCTTCTCTCTAAACTGGAAGTTGAAACTCTTTGGGTGCTGAGCAAAAGCCGTATACTAGCCCTTCCTGGGTTGAAGACATGACAGTGGCCATTATTCACTATCTGTGCAGGCAGAAGCAATCCCTTCAAATGCACCAGAGCTTTCCCAGAAGGAAACATGAGGAATGACGTTTTCTTCATGTCTTTACATGTGTGTGTTTTTAGTGACTAATTTCATTTTAAAATGTTGGTGTTCCATTTAGCCCAAATTTTCAACTACTCTTGGTTCCCCATGCATTCATTCATTCATTCATTCATATGTGGTACGAATTTCTTGACTGTCCACTATGCCCTCACATTGAGCTAGGCACTGAGGACACAGAAATGGATAAGAGAAAAATTCTTCCTCTTTTCATAAAATTGACCCACTGAGCCATTTCTAGCCTGACAGGCCCGGCCATCCTCAGACCTGTAGCAAGAAGTCACATTCCCTTTATGACCCCAAATCACGATCTCCATTGTAACTGTTGATGGAACCCACTCAGTCATTAAGGGCGGTCATGGGTCACGGCCTGGGTCATTTCTTCTGGCTTCTGAGAGGAAATTTCTACGCTGGGATAAAAAGAATGCTGAACTCAGACTCCTGTCTCTTGCTGTCCCACATATTCTGCCTAGACTTTTCTCCTCCTGCTCCAGGAGACATGACATGGCCTAGGACAGTGAGTAAGGGTGTTTGGGTCTTAGAATATTCCCATGTCAGTGGAGAATTTATGCTGTAGTAGAAAGAACCCAGGATTAAGAGTCGGCAAGAAACGAGTTTAAATCCAGGTGCTAGGACTCCCTGGCCTTTAATAAATTACTTAATCTCTTCAAGCCTCTGTTACCTCTTGTAAGACAAGGGCAGTATTTCCCACATAATAGGCTGGTCATGAGAACCAGTGAACACACAGCAGGTGCTCAAGTCTTGTTTTTGTTCCCAGGGGCACCAGTGGAGGTTTTTTGAGCATGGATCCAACCATCCCGGCCTGGGGAACCAAAAGTACAACAATGAATGGAGATGACCAAGCCCTTCCCCTGCTTTGTGGCAAGGAGACCCTGATCCCGGTCTTGCTGATCCTCTTCATTGGCCTGGTCGGGCTGGTAGGAAACGCGGTTGTGCTCTGGTTCCTGGGCTTCCATATGCGGAGGAACGCCTTCTCCGTCTACGTCCTCAGCCTGGCCGGGGCCGACTTCCTCTGCCTCTGCTTCCAGATTATAGATTGCCTGGCGTACCTCAGTGACTTCTACCATTCCCTCTACACCTATTTCCCCAGCTTCCTCACTGCTATGATAACCTGTGCCTACCTTGCAGGCCTGAACATACTGAGCGCCATCAGCGCTGAGCGCTGCCTGTCCGTCCTGTGTCCCATCTGGTACCGCTGCCGCCGCCCCAGACACCTGTCAACAGTCATGTGCGCCCTACTCTGGGCCGTGTCCCTGCTGCTGAGCATCCTGGAAGGGAAGTTCTGTGGCTTCTTATTTACTGATGGTGACTCTGGTTGGTGTCAGACATTTGATTTCATCACTGCAGCGTGGCTGATTTTTTTATTTGTGGTTCTCTGCGGGTCCAGCCTGGCCCTGCTGGTCAGAATCCTCTGTGGATCCCGGAAGATGCCGCTGACCAGGCTGTACGTGACCATCCTGCTCACAGTGCTCGTCTTCCTCCTTTGTGGCCTGCCATTCGGCATTCAGTGGTTCCTAATCTTATGGATCTGGAAGAATTTTGATGACTTTTTATGTCATATTCATCCAGTTTCCCTTGTCCTGTCCTCTCTTAACAGCAGTGCCAACCCCATCATTTACTTCTTCGTGGGCTCCTTTAGGCAGCAGTGGCGGCTGCGGCAGCCGACCCTCAAGCTGGCTCTCCAGAGGGCTCTGCAGGACACTGCTGAGGTGGATCACAGTGAAGGAAGCTTCCGCCAGGACACCCTGGAGATGTCGGGAAGCAGTCTGGTGTAGAGATGAACAGCCTCTGCTTCCATCAGCCAGCTGCTCTTGTTCACCCCAGAGTGAGTCAATGCTCCTTTCCAAGTGGAATTCACATAAGCATCTGCCTTTTCCCCCAAAGCCCCCCAAAAATATATGTATCTTTGAGAGGCACCTTTGCCCCTGTCTGTCTGATTTGCTAAACCATCTCAGCCCTGATCTTAAAACAATTAGAAGAGTCCTTGTGAGGATGAAGTGAGACAGTGCCTATGAAACAAACTGAGCGCAGTGCCTCTGGACCTGCCTTACTCGCAGGCTTCCATCACATCCCCATGAGAGCTTTGCCAACTCTGGGATCCAGGACTGTTCTCATTTTTCATGAATCCCACCTTTCACAGAAGGCTGAAAGCAGTGCAGAAAAGGTCTACATTTCTTTGGTCACACTGCACTTGATAGGGACTCAAAAAATGTTATATTTTTAACAAGTTTCTTTTTCTCTTCCATTAATTCCTGTCTCCATAAAATTAGAATAATTAAATTTAAATCTAGCTCCAAAAGAGTAGCCATCTTTCATTTTAGCAGGTCTCAGAATATCCCCCTAGCCTAATAGACCTTTGTTGAATAAAAGGCTTAATGAATGAACTGGTTAATTTTTAAGTTAAACCTCTGAAAACTCTCCATTTACTATATTTAAGTCACTGTCTAAATTTATTGCTTTCACTACTTTTGAATTTTGCAAACATGGAATTAAGCTTTATAATTAGCTAAATCAATGTCAATGCATATTTAAAGTTTGAGGTAGACTGTCTTGCTGTGGTTTTCTTTCACACGCCATCCATTAAAATCCCAACTACACGCCTTCTCCTTCCTTCCCCTTTGCCTTTACCCTAATCCTCCCTCCCTGGAGGATCTCTAATCTGCCCTGGAAGGTTCCCAATGGTCTTACTAGACTCTGTGTTCTTGGAGGACAGGCTCTATGTCAGATTTACCTTTTATTCCAAAGAGCTCAGAGCATTTATTTTATTAATTAAATTGCACATGTTTTTAAAAAGTTGTGTGTTGCACAAAATAAAATACTAATTGAAAATGCTGCATCTTCTAATAATTTTTTATTATTTTTAATTGACATTTAAGAAAATGACATGCACAGATCATAAATGTACAGTTTAATGAGTTTTATTAAATGAATACACCTATGTGACTCAAACTTTATTCAAGACATAAAATATTTTCATCATCTCTGAAAGTTTGCCTGTGCTCCCCCCAATCATTCCTTTTGCCCCCAGATGCAACCATTGTTTCTATTTCAATCAACAAATATTAGTTTTGCCTGACCTTTGACTGTACCTTTTCAGAATCATGTGTATTTTTTGTTTCTAGCTCTTGCACACAACATAATATTTCGAAGATTTATCCATGTTATTGCATTGCATATATCAGTAGTTTGTTCCTTTCATAAAGCTAGTACTATTTAATTGTATGAGTGTACTATGGTTTAACTATTTTCATATTGACAGATATATGTGTCATGTATTATGAATTTTTTGGCTATTATAAATAAAGCTGCTGTGAACATTCTTATTCAAGTCTTTTCATAGATATATGTTTTCATTTCTCCTATACAGACAACCGGGAATGAAATTGCAGGATCGTAGAAAGACATATGCTTAACTCTATAAGAAATTACCAAGTTATTTTCTAAAATGGTTATACCATTTCAGATTCTGACCAGCAATGTATGAGAGTTCCAGTTGCTCCACATGCTCCCAACAAACATGGTATTGCCAGTCTTTGAATTTTAGTCATTGTAATGAGTGTTAAGTGGTAACTCATTGTGTTTTAATTTGCATTTCCACAATGATTTATTAAATTGAGCACCTTTTCATGTGCTTTTTGACTACTCTTTTTTTTGTAGTGTTTGCTTAAGTTTTGCCCATTTTTATTAAGTATTTGTCTTTTTCATTATGTATTTGTCTTTTTCATTGTAAATTTGTATACATTTTTCCATATGCTGAATGATTCCTTTGGTAGTTATGTATATTATATTTGTCCAGTTTATGGTTTGCCTATTCACTTTTATGTATTTATTTATTTTTAATTAACAATTACATATATTTATGGGGCACAATGTGATATTTTAATCAATGTATACCTTGTAGAAAGACTAAATCAAGCTAATTAAGAAATCCATCCCGTATTGCTGGGCGCGGTGGCTCACGCCTGTAATCCCAGCACTTTGGGAGGCCGAGGTGGGTGGATCACGAGGTCAAGAGATCGAGACCATCCTGGTCAGCATGGTGAAACCCCATCTCTACTAAAAATACAAAAATTCAGCTGGGCATGGTGGCATGTGCCTGTAATCCCAGCTACTCGGGAGGCTGAGGCAGGAGAATTGCCTGAACCCAGGAGGCGGAGGTTGCGGTGAGCCGAGATCGCGCCATTGCACTCCAGCCTGGGTAACAAGAGCGAAACTCCGTCTCAAAAAAAAAAAAAAAAAAAAAAAAGAAATCCATCCCTTACCAACTTATTCATGTGTGTGTAATGCGAATGTTAAAAATCTATTCTTTAAACCAAACACTGCATGTTCTCACTTATAAGTGGGAGCTGAACAATAAGAACACATGAACATAGAGAGGGGAAGAACACACACTGAGGCCTGTCAGAGCATGGGGTGAGGGGAGGCAGAGCATTAGGAAAACTAGCTAATGCATGCTGGGCTTAATACCTAGGTGATGTGTTGGTAGGTGGAGTAAACCACCATGACACACATTTACCAATGTAACAAACCTGCACATCCTGCACATGTACCCAGAACTTAAAATACAAATAAAAATAAATTTTAAAATCTATTCTTTGTTTGTTTGTTTTGAGACAGAGTCTCACTCTGTCACCCAGGTTGGAATGCAGTAGCACCATCTTGGCTCACTGCAACTTCTGCCTGCTGGGTTCAAGCAATTCTCATGCTTCAGCCTCCCAAGTAGCTGAGATTGCAGGTGTGCATCACCACGCCTGGCTGATTTTTTTTTTTTTTTTAGTAAAGTTGAGGTTTCACCATGTTGACCCGGCTGGTCTTGAACTCTTGGCCTCAAGTGATCGACTCACCTTAGCCTCCCAAAGTGCTTAGATTACAGGTATAAGCCACCACACATGGACAAATCTCTTCTTTAAAAAAAAAAAAACTTTTAAATTCGGGGGGGTCCATGTGAAGATTTGTGACATAGGTAAACTCATGTCATGGGGGTCTATTGTACAGATTATTTCATCACCAAGGTATTAAGTTCAGTACTCAATAGCTATCCTTTTTGCTCCTTTTCCTCCTTCCACTCCATGCCCTCAAGCAGATCCCAGTGTCTGTTGTCCTCTTCTTTGTGTTGTGAGTTCTATATATGTATATAATACAACATTAATATGTAATACAATTATTAATATATAATCATAATTAAACAGTTTAACATAACATCTAATAAAAGAACTGAAGCAAGTTGTTGGTTCTGGAGACTAGGATTCACTAAGACTTTCACCTTTTGAATGAATTAACAGCATTTGCAATGACCTGAATGAGATTTAAAACTATTATCCTAAGTGAAGTAACTCAGGAATGGAAAACCAAATATTGTATGTTCTCTCTGATATGTGGGAGCTAGGCTAGGAGGACGCAGAAGCATAAGAATGATACAATGGACTCTGGGGACTTGCGGGGAGGAGTGGGAGGGGGAAATGGACAAAAGACAACAAATATGGTGCAGTGTATATTGCTCGGGTAATGGGTGCACCAGGATCTCACAAATCACTATTAAAGAACTTACTCATCTAAACAAATACCACCTGTGCCCCAATAACTTATGGAAAGATCAACCAAAAGACTTTCACCTTTTATTTGACACATATCTGTGTCAATTGGAAAGAAAATGAAAAGCAGCATAGAGAGACTTCATCTTTCCTGCTGCCAGATTATAGATCCCCTGCTGAAACTCATCAGCTCCTTCCACCCCATCTCCATCTCCATCCCCTACTTCTGTATCACTATGATAACCTGTTTCTACATTATGAGCCTATGCATGCTCAGTGCCATTACCCAAGGCACTGCAGTCGGTACTGTGGTGCATCTGGTATACTGCCACCACCACCTGAGACAGAAGCCAGCTGTCATATGTGTCATCTTGGTCCTGTCCCTGCTGCTAAGCGTCCTTGAAAGGAACTATTGTAGCTTCTTTTTGGGCACTCTAATTTCATTTGGTGTCAGGCACTTTATTTCATTACCATGTAGCTGATATTCTTATTCTCTCTGGGTCCAGCCTGTCCCTACGGGTCAGACTCTGTTTGGCTGCAGGCTCTATGTGACAACCAGCTTCTGGTCCTAGTCTTCCACTTCTGCAACCTACCTGCTGGTATTCAATTGTGTCGGGTTATGGGTTCAAATTGACTACAATTCATTCTTTGGCCTTGATTGCATTGCGTTTATCTTGACCTGCTAGCAGCTGCACCAACCCTATTATTTGCTTTCTTTGTTGGCTCCTTTAGGCAGTATCAATATGGGAAGACCCTCAAGCTGCTTCTCCAGAGGGCTCTGCAGGACACTGCTGAGGTAGATGAAAGTGGAGGCAGACTCGTTCAGGAAACCTTAAAGCTGTCGGGAAGCAGACTGAGGCAGTGAGGAAAAGCCTCTACCTTGGTCCGTCAGATGTGACTTTGACAGTAAACTAAACGCTGCCCTGCCAGACTTGACAATTACCTGCTCTTCTCTCAGCCTCATGCTCCCAAAGTGCCTCAGCTATTCTTCAGTGTCTTCAAATAGATACGTTTAACATGGCTTTTCTAATCTTTCTCAGATAAATCATTAGTCCCAAAGTAGAATGTCTGTATCTCTCTCTATGATACGAAGAAAGTTCTTATATTATCTTCTCTGGATCTTTTATTATTCAACATTTTTTACTTTTTCCAGTCTACTTAAATTTTAATTATTTTGGATACATAATTGTTGCACATATATATGGGGTATATGTGTTATTTTAATATAAACATACAATATGCTATGATCAAACAGGGTAATTGGGGCATCCATCACCTCAAGCATTTAACTTTTTGTGTTAGGATCATTCCAATTCCACTCAATTATTTTGAAAAATACAATAAAATTTTGTTAACTATAGTCACCCTACTGTGCTACCAAACACAAGATCTTATTCTTTCTACCATATATTTATACCCATCAACCATCCCCTTTTCATCCCCCACTCCCCACTACCCCTCCCAACCTCTGGTAATCATCAGTCTACTTCCTCTCCCACCCTGCTGCCTCCTGCTGCCACTGATAGCATGCTCATGTCCCAGATGGATCCCCACTTCATGTTGTCCCTGTGAGGCATGCAGCCCTCTTCTCTCTGGTATCTGGAAGTAATAAATGACCTCTGTTATTGTATGCGTTTCGCTGAGTCGCCTCCTCTGTCTCACTAACCAATACACTTAAACCTAACTTCTTTCCTGGTCAGGACTGTCCTAGAAAGTGGC